TGCACAATGGCAATATGTAATAAAGATTCTGTGAAAGTTTCATAAATTTCAGAGAGGAGTTGCGGATAAGAGATGGGTACCCCAAAGCGTAACAGACAGACGGACGGACGGACATACCGATTACTATACTATAGGTATAATTAAGGTTTTATATATAACACTTGTCTTAGTCTATATTTACATTCAATGTAATTTTCTTTATGTTATCCATAAGAAATCGCGCGGTATTCAATTTGTCGGCACGGCCAGATGTGTTATAGGACCAAACACATCCCAAAATATGACTTCAAAATGAGTTAATATTCAACTTCATATAGTATTACATAGAATTTCGGTTATTACGTTACATAAAAAAAAACGCACACATTTCCATGCATCCACTTTGATTTTTTACATAATAAAAATGACAATGTATCCACATATACAGTCAAACTTGTCATAGCGGTCAGATCTATCCATCGGTCACTTGTCCTATGCAGTCATTTCATTCTCTCCCAATGAAATTTCCTATATAAAGTAACTCTATTTAGCGATCACCTAATTTCAAACGAAATGGCCAGTTTTCCCTGTCTTTAGTGGCCATTTTGTCCAATCACGTGACCTGATCTGGAATCAGCTGATTCCCAATTTTTGTTACGAATGTAAATAATCAGTTAAGTGTTGCGGGATCGTGAATAAAAATTGATAAATGAAGCAATTATTTTACTAGATAAGCATATTCAAGAATCATATTACATACTTACTGCTTCTTTATTTTACAAAACTCGAACAACTATGCTTATGGCGAAAAAAAGTTAACAGGAAAAAAAACGAATACTAGTATTATCGATAACTGAATATCAGGGTCTTATAACTTCTGGATTTTAAATTAAGTTTAAAAAAAAGAACAACATTTGAACTATATTGATCTATTAATGACTATGATATTTTTGTTTACTATTTACAGTGTCGATATCGCCCCAACTCTGCATGATCTGAAAGTTGTAAATGTTACTACGCTTGATCACCGTATACAACGGGTAACACGGGGGAGTCGCTAAAAAGTATTGGGGAGTCGTTTTCAACGTATGGGGGAGTAGATTTTCACCGCTTCGGAGTCAGAAGAGATGTGGGTCACGTCTTTTTTTAGTATATGTAAGATGTATTTACAAAAAATAAATAGCCCACGGAAGGTAGCAATAGTTGAGCTTTGTCTTGGTCATTTGTCCGGCTAGCACATACATGTACGTCTAGTTTTCTCAAACACTTCGAAACTATTCGACAGATTTCCTATTTATGTTGATCGAGTGGTTAAAACATGCATGATTTGCACTATCTACGACTTGTGTAGAGATTCCGACGGTTAAAACAGCAAAAGCAAACGTTTATCTTTCAAATGCAACAATTAAAACTTGTCTAGACTTAATAAAAATTAATAATTAAGACATTTTCTCTTCATACAGTAAGGGTTACGTAGGGGGGAGTCGTTTCTGGAAAAACACAAAGGCAGTTTAATTTTCAAACCTAGGAAACTTGCATCATTAATTTTGTTTAAGCTATAATTACAGTTTATATACACTTTGTGGATTGGGTATTTTGTTAATTTCACAAAGGAAACGACCGTTAGGGATTAGTAATGCTTCATTGCTCAGGACACCTGTGCACCTGTTGATCAACTGAGAGTACGTCTGAGAGTTTATTATACAACAAATCATGTACAGTTGTGTACATGAATTTAAAAAAATACATGTACAGAGGTTTAATGAATCAAGTTTAGATAAAATAATTTTTAACTGGTTTTATTCATTCCTTACACAAAGAAAAAAAAATTGATGTGGGATAATGCAACACCCTGTAAGATTCAGTATACAGGTATGTTACAACGCACTTTGAAAAATTACGCACTTTGAAAAAATTTTTCAAAGTGTGTTAAAATTTGGGACCAAGCTAACGCACTTTGAAAAAAATATTTTTTTTTCAAAGTGCGTTAATTTCGACCATCTTAACGCACTTTGAAAAAAATGTTAAGATTGATCAATATTCCTTCAAATAATCGGTATGATAAATAACAGATCCTGGTTTGATAACTTTTTTATGATAAAGTCACTGTAGGACCTGAGATATTGAAGTTTTAAATATTTAAGGTTTTGATTAAATAAAACGGAAAATTAAAGGGTCTTGAAAAAAAAGAGTGACGATTGTTTAAATTCATTAATTCGTTTCTTCTTCTTTTTTTTAATTCTAGTCTTTGATAAGTAGATGTAAAGGTGTATAAGGGGCACTAACAGAGGACAGCTTAAAGTAACTTTACATTTATCATAATACTAGTAAAAAGGGGCCATTTTGATTGTTCAAAACTATGAAAATTCTTTCTCTATCATACGTTTTAATGTACTTAAAAATTTCTAGTTTTCATCTGTTTTAATTAACTTATTTATCATTGAAAGTTTTCAACGTCATACCAGTTAGGTAAATACATAATTATATGAATGCTTTGAGTATAGCATAGACATCGAGACTGGGCGAAGGGCCAGGGGAGGGAATGTTACCGACACCTATGTATTGAAAAGATAAAGATTTGGACTGAGGGATCTTATACCCGCCTTCTCCTCTTTTCGACGGAAGTAAATCAATTCATTTTTGAGGTTAGGGTTAGGCTTAGTTTTTGAAAGATAAATGACAAATAAAATCTTTCCATGACTAAAATATGATTTTTTTTTTCAAAGTGCGTTAAGTGTCTCCATGGTAAAATATATTGATGTAGACTCTTAACGCACTTTGAAAAATTTTTTCAAAGTGCGTTGAGTTGGTCCCAAATTTAACGCACTTTGAAAAAATTTTTTCAAAGTGAGTTAATTTTGTCCCAATTTTAACGCACTTTGAAAAAATTTTTCAAAGTGCGTAATTTTTTCAAAGTGCGTTGCCACACAGGTATTTTATTAATTTTCTTGGATTCATTAAATTTAGTTTGAATTCATCCATAAAAGTAAAAGCATCTTCTTAATAAACAAAAAAATATAATAATTTAAGTGAGATCACTAATGTCCAATACCTAACTTTCTTGTATATTTTGTGGTGAAATACATAATAATAAACACAAAACTGACATATTAAATTTGTAAATAAAATCTTTTTAAAAAAGATGAACCTATTTTCAAAGGTCACCTCTCTATAAAGGTCACTTTTGATGGATCCTGTATGTGACTGCTTAATACAAGTTTCACTGTACTTGATTTTGGTGCAAGATTGGATTTGTTTGACACACATGAGAAAAATGAGGAGGATGATCAATCCATATCAATTTATTATCAATTTATTAAATATTGATTGATTGTAATTTAACGTCCCTCTTGAGAGTTTTTCACTCATATGGAGACGCCACCGTATGCCGGTGATGGTCTTCAAATTTTGACCTTTTCTCGGCACTCGGGGCAATTGAGCAGTGAGGGATCTTTATAGTGCCAATACCTGCCGCTGATGCCTGACGCTGCCGGGGCCTGGGTTTAAGGTCTCATCCGAAGGACCCGCAACTTTTTCTTCAAAGTGCCGAGCGCATGGCGAAGGAACAGTTGGTACCCAATTCATCGACTTAGGTCAGTCGCGGCCGAGATTCGAACTCAAGACCTCCCGATCACGGAGAAAGCGATCTACCGACTGAGCTACAGTGAACGGTTTTAAATATTGAAGTAAAGGTAAAAATTTACTCTTTTTTATATTAGATGATAAAAGAAACAAACAGTACAAAAAATGCACCAGGAATGATGATTTGATATTGTTTGCATTTACATAAACAGAGGCTATAAGGAAATCAGCTAAACCACGTCACCATGTGTCCTCCCCTCCCTTTATTAAGGAAAGCATATGACATGTTAGCGTCTCCCAAACCTTCCCCGTACCCCTTTAGAGACTTGGCAATAACCCTGCCTTAAATTTAATTTTGAAGTGGTCCTTTATTTCATATCTAATTATTCGACATTTAAGCTTTTATGTCTTTTTAATTTATAAGCATAAAAAAATACGAATTGTATGCAATCTGTTGATCTTGAATGTAACCATAGGATCCACACATTTCCTACTGGTTATTAACATTTAGGCCTAAGATATATAATAAAATTTGGCCACAAGCGAAAAAAAGGATGATAGCCCCATAGCATGGGATTTGTTTTGGTGATATTTATGCATACAATACGGTATAAATAAAAGCTGACCTGGTCGAACATTTAAAAAGAAACAGATAGACAGACAAGAAAGGTCGATTTTTACCTCTCATGTATTCCAGTAGCAGTCTTGCCAAACGCCTCCTCATATAGCAAAATAGTTTACATGTGGAAGAGAAGTGTGTTGTCCACTGACTTCTGGTGATATATTTTCCTCCTAGGGCCGCTACACACGTTAAGGTTTGCCTTATAAGCATAGAACTTAAGACCAATTCTCTGTAATCACCAAAATATTTTGGCACGCATAGTTACAGATTTGAATTTTTATATCATAATTTAATACAGGTGTGTGAGTGATTGTAAAATCTAAAAATAGTTTTTGAATTGTAACCTTGGTTGCTTAAGTAAAACGGGATACAAACTTTCTCATTTTTGTAAATCATGAAAATCTGTACTTTTCATGAAAAACCATGTCTAGAAATGAACAGAGATATCTAAATTTGTGTTTATTGTTTTATCCAATACTAGAGATTCAAACAACAATGTTTACAGTTCAATTTTAATTTTACACTCGTAAGTGGTCATGTTATGCATTGCAAAATGTCAAAAATATAGTAAAATTTGCTCAATATTTTAAGACGTAAAACAAAAAAATGCAGCTATCTACAAATTAAGCAATAATAAAATATGAAAGGTTGATATTTGATTATAATTAAACAATTAAAAAATTGGTGGGCAAATGATATGTGTTATAGAAATTAAAGGTGAATATCCATTTTTTCTGCATTTTGAAGCATTTTTTGCTTACCAATTACATGTACTTCCCTTTGATTACTCTCTCGCGTTTGGAGGTACAATATGTAGGCACTTGTAGTGGTAAACAAATAATTTGGTGAGAAAACCTAACAAAGCGGGTCCGGGGTGAGGATTGGCAGTGTGGAAGAAGGAAAAAGGCCAAGATAAGAAGACAAGAGGTAATTATAAATATTACAAACGCTAAGTATGTATACTTATTTCTCCATTTAATTGTCTTGCATGCATGTAACCCGAGATTCCTCTGCTATGAATTGTGACACTTGAAGGGGCCTCTGCCCTGACTCTCCCCGGTACATTTCACAATAAAAAATTACATAAAAATACATGTAGATGGTAGGGCATGAAAACATACATCAGGTCAGACACAATCTCCTTATAATTATATATAACCAGGTCCAGTACACTGAATTGATGTAAATAAATACATGTATAGAGATAGCAAGGCCTTTATTTCAAAGCAACTTTTTTAATTTTTTTCCCTTTTTATTAAGAAAAGAAAAAAAAAATCGCAAGTAAATAACTACAATGTATTTAATATTTATACTAGGGAGGTTTTAAAAACAATTCAAAGCAGAGATAATTTGAATTTTTTTTGTTTGGAGAAGGGGGAGGGGAGTGGGTGTCTCCTTCAGCAGGTTTGAAAAAATGTAAAAATGGGATAATTATAATAGCTGATCTGAAATATACATGTATTCTAAATGAAATGCAAATTTTCAGTACCAACAGGGGGGGAAGATTATATTTCTAATTTTTTTTCTTGCAAATCTACAATGCCTCAATGGAGAATCAATTCTCTAAAAGGAAAAATACAGAAAAATTGCCTGCAAAGGTCAACGCTTTCCATATAAATTTATGGGACTGAAAAAAATTATAGCCTAATATTTTGCACTGTAAATTTCTATCCCATGCGTTCATATCATTATTGATCAAGTAGTTCTTGATCTGTACATTTTTTGTAAAGATAATATATGACTTTCCTTTTGATGATGTTGACAGAAAGATAATTAATATATATATTGATTTTTATTATAAAAGTAGTCAATTTTTATCTTGAATTTAGTGATTTTTAACATGATTAGATTATATTCTTATTTTTTGTTTTTTTTTTCAAAGGATTCACCAAAGAGGATGAAAAAGAAAAGGAACATGAGCAAATACACATGTAAATCATAGCTATAACAGAATTCTAACGAAAGCTTGGAGTTAATTTTGGAAAAGACAATTTCAGGAATTGAGACAGCTTATAGATGCATATCTCTTCAACGTAACCAGTTTCAAAAATCAAATCTAAATTGTTACAAAAACACATCACTACATGTAGTTATGGTCTGCTTATTTCTCATTTATTGATCAAAATGATTTTAAAATCATTATTATATATGCATAGATCAAAGAAAACTTGTTTAACAGTTTAACATGCACAACTGTCAGAATGATAATTAGAAAAACACCTTTCTTGATTTAGGGTTTGTGTTTACATTTATGTGTATATTTAATTCAGTTTGATGTCTATCTTCATTTGAAGATATTGAAAATTGTATTTACTTCTGCAGGTAGAAAAAAGTCATCTTTAATAAATGACTGGAGATGGAACATCATGAAGTTTATAATGAAATCAGTAACATGCTAAGATGAATATAACAAAATCTCCGAACAACGGTGAAGCCTTGGAGATATAGCATTGAATTTTTTCCGTAGAAAGTACCAAGGTGTCTGTTACAATTAATTTAGTTTCCCAAACGAGGAGCAATGTAGCTGGCTTGTCAGAGTGATTTACCTGAAGATGAAATTGGAAATGAGAATATTCATGTGTGTCTCCATACTGGAAATTCACAAGATTCAACCATATTTCTAATCGACTCAGTGAGGTCATTATTTAAAGCAATATGAGCTGCATGTTTGACATCGGAAAAAAAATATTGGAAATTTGTAATTAACTATTTCAATGACAGGAAAATAGAACGTTAATAAACTTCTGTTGTTCATATGTGCTTTTGAAGAACTTTTTATAAGCTTGTATTGGAACAAATTTGAATTATTGTCGTCCTGTACAATAATGATTTCTTATGTAATACTGTATATTGGGTTGTACAGAAATATTTCTTCTGCAATATTTTTAAACTTTATTTGGCCTTATTGATCATAAGGGATTAGATTACATACAGATTAATCAAAATTACACATTTTACAAGCAAAATAAAATTATCAAAAATGCAACTCATATTGCTTTAAGGAAGCTCTTAACAGCACACTAAAGAGCTCTACTTGAAGGAGTAGTTGTATGCAGTAAGAGTGATCTGCTCTTAGAATTCGGATAGAAAAAAAATCGTTGCTTACCTATTTCACAATTATTGAAACATTTTTACTAGCATTATCTTAGACAAAGAATAAGTAATTGAATTAATATTCAAATTTATTTTCTTAAAGTCAACAACAGTGTTTTCTGTTCATGAATAATTCATAACATTTTTCGAGTAGAAATAATGCAGGTACTTGTTGAAAATGAACTTATATAGTCTCAATGTGTATACCTTTATATGATAATTTTTTTCCTTAATAGAAAGTCTGTAGATCACTTCCTGATACACATGTATTGTTTAGAGCTACTTTAAATTGCATATGATATGGTTTGCTAATTAAAATACATTGTAGCTAATAATTTTGATGGAGGTTTGAAAAAAAAATTCACAAGCCAACAATTCTTGTCCAATACGTTATAGCCTTTTGTGCTATCATATGTAGCAAGTAAATTTGTATTTTTTTGTGTTTTGGATTGAAGTATTTTGTTTCATGTTCATATTTTATAAAAACATGTAATTTAGAAATTATGATGCAGCCTTATTAACTGCAGTAATGAGTAATGGAAGAGTTTTTGTATTGTGCTAGAAATGGTTGGGGGTGTCTATATTTATGATCATATTCTCGCCTATAGATATGAATAAATATTCTTTTATGGGTCAGCTAACAATGTCTAATTGATTTTCCAGATTTTAAGCTTAAATTCATTGAATTTTTACTGTAAAAAGAACAAATGTATCTTGTTATATGAAATACTCATCAAAGCTGTTTTTTGGCAAAATGCCAATTTTATGATTTTTCATTTTGTTATAGTCAATGTTTGTTGTTATTTGCCCATGAATGTTTTTGAATATTTTTATTACTTGTGACAAGTACCTTCAGATGAAATAAGTGATACTTTGTGAAAGATCTGCTAATTTTTTATTTTACTTCCCAAAATGTTGTTATTTTTCAGTTTTGACTAAATTTTGAAAAGTTGTTATTTTGCCATTGTTTGACAAAGCATAACAAAATTTTCAAATAATTAATAAACATATTAAAGATATCATTTGAAAGTGTTGATGTTGTAGTTTCATGAGAAATTAGCAACAGGGTTCTAATCATAAATATAGGTTCAGCACAGATCGGGTAAAAAGTGTAATTTTAGCAAAATTGCCATGCTCAAATTAGCCCTATTTATTATATACCTAATGTGTATCACCCAATTTTACTGTTGAATTTACACTATCACGTGACGTCGTGATCCGATTTTCCGGATCACCAACATGTTGTTTTCTGAATCCATATCACCACTCTCTGAAACTGATGACGTAGTACCCAGAAATGTGACGTTATTTTTCTTGCGCGTTAACAAGTCCCTTGTTATTATGCTTTGTTTTATGGATAAATCTTATGCAATTGATCTCTAAAGTTTTCTTTTGCTATATTTTGCTAGTTATGAGGGGGTATATAATAAATTTATCATTATAACAGTAACTTGATCCGAAGAGCCGTATCACGTCTCGTTGACAAGCGCAGATCATCAGATCAAACTCGACGCGTTGCGTCTCGTTAAATCTGATGATCCGCGCCTGTCAACTCGACGTGATACGACCCTTCGGATCAAGTTACTGTTATAATAATATATATATGTTAGAAATTTTGTATCCCGGTTACCATGGTAACAGAGGGTGTCCAGAAAAAAATTATGCCATACATATAAGTTTTACCCTAGGTAGATACTATATGCCAAGTTTGAAGAAAATCTGAGACTATGCGTGCCAGACCCTCTCAGAATTACTTTGGTGATTACAGAGAATTGCTCTTAAATTCTTACCCTACCGTGTGTACACCCATAATACACATTATTTCGAACCTTACAAGTCTGACTTAAAAATACAACACTGCTTTCTTATTAATACAAGACGTAGCTGACATTTATTTCTCTACCAATGAAAACCATTCACCCACCTAGTTCTATAAAACCATACACATGGGTAGATTGTTCAAAGGGAACACAAGGTGTATTCGAATAAGATAATCTGATAATGAAAATATCCGCCAATGCTTCTGTTAACCTCCTCCTCTTTGTTAAGCAGTGTGAGTGCAATGGTCGGTAAAATTATTTCAAAGATCTAACAAGTAATTAGGTCTTTCCATCTTTCTGTGGAAAGACCTTAGGCTATTGAAATTGTTCTGTTTATTAGGTCTTTCCACCTTTCTGTGGAAAGACCTATTGATTTTCTTCTGTTTCTTCTTTTCCTTTTTGATTATTTTTCCGCCATGTGATTTTGAGTTTCAAGATTTATCGAAGAGATTTATAGTCCATAAGAATGTACTCCGTAAAAGATTATTGCAGTTGACCCTGCGTAAATGAACCTTGACCTTTTTCGAAGTTATTGCCCCTTTCGCAAGAAATGCTTGTTATCGCTATACTCCTCCGAAACAATAAGCCGCAGAGGTTCGAAACCTTTACCCTGAATTTTAAAAATAATTAAAAATTTTCAAAACGAGAAGTCGTAGAGGCATGGGACCAACTGCATGAGATTTATTGACCTTCGATCTTGAAATTTATGCAAAGGTCAAGGTCATTCCAAACCTGAGAAATTAAGCTTTTTAGGTCACCTGAGTAAACTCAGGTGACCTATTGCTATCCGTTGTTGTCCGTCGTCGTCCGTCGTGCTTTCAGCTTCTTCTCTGGAACCACTCAACCCATTTTGGCACAAAGCATCTATGGGTGAAGGGGAATAAAAATTGAGAATTTCATGGTCCCTGCCCCCCTGGGGCCTGAGGGGTGGGGCCAAAACCACTAAAATTAGTGCAATCTTTAAAAATCTTCTTCTGTGCTCCTGGACATCAAGCAGTCAAACTGTTGGCATGATTGTAATCAGCATAGAGTCCTCTACCAAAATTGTGAAATTCATAGCCCCAGGGTCAGGGGTGCTAGTGCTAGGGCGGGGCGAAATAGACTGTATAGTGAAAATGCATTATTACTATGAAAATCTTCTTCTCTGCTACTGGGCATTAAATAAGCTAACCAAGTACAAAGTTATGTTGAATAAGATTGCCTCTTTCAAAATTGTGAATTTCATGGCCCCAGGGTCAGGGGTTCTGGTGTTAGGGTGGGGCTCTATTGATTATATAGTGAAAATGCCTAAATTCTTTAAAAATCAATCTTCTCCTCTATGCTTGGATATTTAACCAAAGAACCATGTCCATAGTTATGATAAGGAAGGATGCTTCTTCCCAATTTGTGAATTTCATGGCCCCAGGGTCAGGGGTTCTGGTGTTAGGGCGGGGCTCTTTTGGTTATATAGTGAAAATGCATTAATTCTCTGAAAATCTTCTTCTCTGCTCCTGGGTATTAAACAAACAAACTAAGTACATAGTTATGATGACTGAGATTGCCTCTTCTAAAATTGTGAATTTCACAGCCCATGGGTGAGGGGTTCTGGTGTTAGGGCGGGGCTCTTTAATTGTTTATATGGTGAAAATACATTAATTCTTTAAAAAATCTTCTTCTCTTCTCCTGAGTACGAAATAGACTAAGCAAGTATATGGTTATATTGAATAAGTCTGCCTCTTCCAAAATTATGAATTTCATGGCCCCAGGGTAAGGGGTTCTGATGTTAGGGCGGGGCTCTGTTGATTATATAGTGAAAATGCATAAATTCTTTAAAAATCTTCTCCTATGCTCCTTGGTATAAAACCAATGAACTATGTACATAATTATGATGAGGTGGGAGACTTCTTCCCAATTTGTGAATTTCATGACCCCTGGGTCAGGGGTTCTGGTGTTAGGGTAGGGCTCTTTAATGATTATATTGTGAAAAGGCATGAGTTCTTTGGAAATCTTTGCTTTGCTCCTTGGTATAGTGCCAATGATCTAACTATATATTTATGATGAAGAAAGATGCCTCTCCAAAAATGGTTAATTTCAGGAGCCCCTGCTTTAGGGGTACTACAGGCGTGGCGGGGGGGGGTGTTGTTACATAGTCTGAAAATTTAAAGTAATACATGTACTTTGAAATCTGCTCTTTAATATAAATCACCCATTTTTGATGAAATGAAATTTATAAAATTTCCAAAATTCTGAAATATGTGGCCCCAGGGTCAGTGGTTCCTCTGAGTTGGTGTGCACAACTGGTGGTTGTAAAGTGGAAATGCATTTTCTCTCTGTTACTCTGATCTGGGTATTAAGTAACCAAAATAAGCATGCTTAATGTGTAGCTATGATAAACAATGGTGCCTCTTTCAATTTCAAGGCTTTTGGTTTAAAATAGTCAAACCAAATTCAGGTGTTGGAAAGTTGTTACATGTTACTCAGGTGACCTATAAGGCCCGTGGGCCTCTTGTTTGA